TTATAGACCGGCAACACTAACAAAACATTAGATCACCAGAGCATAATGGAAGAGCCACCATGTCGCCCAAGAATAAAAGAAGTTGAAGCTTTAAAGCAGCAAATTAAAATATTGAAGAATCTGACCCATCAAACCATTCATCAGAGAACCATGACTTAGCAGCATGGACATACACTGGCAAATGACTACAGGCATTACGGCGTAAATTAGCCGAAACATCACTACACCAATGATGATGGGTTCTGTCGCAAGAACATGTCCTAATCAAACAATTTACAATTCAACGTATTGCAGTCTAGATCAACCTAAAGTTATATACAGGTGACTAAAAGCACAAAACAGAGAACTATAACCTGTTTCAATCATAAATTAAATGGTCTGGTTAAAAGAACATTCTGGTTGGAAGAAGTGCCCTTTATCAAAAGGTGGGAGACTTGGTCTTATCAAATGCTCCCTTTCTAACTTACCAGTCTAGTCCTTGTCCTTATTTCTATCCCTGCTAGTATGGTTAAAAGAAGGGATACACTACAAAGCAATTTCTTTTGGGGGGAAAAGGATGATGTGAAGAAATTTCACTTGGTTGCTAGGGATACAATTTGGAGGCTGCTGAGTAAGGTCGATTTGGGCATTAAATTTATTGAAGATTTCAATAAGTTTGTTGCTTCCTGAATGAAAGTGGAGATTCATCACCAACAACAGTGCCTATGGAGGAGGTTGGACAGTTTTTCTTAACAACACCATATCTGTGGTGAGAAGTGGGAAAAAAATAAAATTTCGGTATGACCACTGACTTGATGGGAAGCCCCTTAGGGGTGTCTTCCCAATATCTTCAATAGTCAGTTTCAAGGAGATGAAGACTATTAATCATTTGGAGGTGTAGAGTGGTGGAATTTGATGGAACATCCCTCTCCAAAACCTCAAAGATTAGGAAATTGATGGTCGATTACCCTTCTCATGCTTTTGGAGAAACAGGCCATTGAACAATCCAAGAAGGATATCCCTTGCTAGAAAATCTCTAGAAATAAATTGTTTCCCATGGAAACAAGTGCGAAATGCAAAGCCTCACCTTACATTGCCTATTTCGCTTGGGAGGCAAATGGGTGTGGAATTATAACTTCGAATAATCAGAATAAGAGAGGAAGGCCCTTCGCTAGATATTATCTATTGCTTGAACAAGGAGGACTCCCCAAATCATCTTCTTCTTCAGTGTCCCAAGAGTAGGAGTAAGAGATTCAGCACTTTCTCTTATCAACATCAATTGGGACTGGCTCCTTTGTTAAGAATGAATGGGTGTGGAGTGGTATTGCTTCTTATAAGTTTACGAAGAATATTATTTCTATTGTTCCTCTTTTTTCTTTTAGCTTATTTGGAAATAGCATAAAAATAAAGCTTTACACAGCCTCTCATTCCCTTTTCATGAGATAAGAGATAATTTTTTTTCCTTTTTGTGTTTTGCTTAAAGGGCGCCCCATCTTTGATGTTGTTGATATTCTGGATATCTTTGATCTTCTCTCCAGTAGAAGGCCGTAATTTCTGTATGTCTTTTGTATCGGGTTGCAACCCTTGATGCTCTACATAGAATGTTTTCTTTCCCCGAAAAAAAAAAAGAATGTGCTAGTGATGATTTTTCCTCGACAAGCAAATACTTGTAACATATTATAGCAGTGTATATACTAAATAATTATTTACAAATACTTGCCAGCACAGTTAAAATAGAGTCCAAGAAAGAAAATTATAACGTCCAAGAGTCATATGATTCACCTGACCAGAAGAGGGATTAGAAGTCCTGCAAATAGGTAGAAAAGGAAATGAAGTCAGCAAAATCCTTAAATAATTCTTACTGTTGAATTCCTATTTTTAGTTTTACTTTTTATTGAATAAATACCAAACAAAAAGCCAACCTGATTTGGAGAGGAATGTGAAGAGTTCTCATAAAAGCACCAGGAAATTCCCCAAAATGTTTGTGGATGGCATCTAAAGATCTTATCTGAGAATAATTACACAAAAGTATAGTCTTAAAGCACCAACTTAACTGAAGGCAAGTCATGTGAACAATGTGAAAGACATAAGAGATGAGAAATCTTGAGAACATTAAGGGATAATGAAGTCACCGCGTCTTTGCCATAACAAAGAGAGATTTTGATGTTAAACAAGTAATACAGGGAATCAGAGAAAACTATTTACCTCCCCTAGACGGTCTCTAGCTCCAAGCAGGAAACCCCAAACAGCAGAGATAATAGTGTAAAAGATGTGGATATCTAACAGATAGATCTGTAGCAGAGTGACACACAGAAGCAATCAGTGAAAGGAATGGAAGACAAGTAGAGGCCCATTTACACACTCAACAGTGTTCGTCTGTTGACAATATTCCTATAAATGCATCAAGGACAAGACATACACGTATAAATATGTGCATTCAATTCTTAAAATATACTTTGCAATGGACAAAATTGTGGGGAAAATTTTAAGAAGCCTTCTAAGAGTGACACAAAACACTAATTTTCTACAAGCTTCATAGTGTATGTTGAGCTGAATTCCTGAACTACAATAGATGTATCACTGGCCCTACATGTGTTGTGTCTAAAAGTGGCATCAATTTTCCAAAAAGAAAAGCCTTTAACATATGAATGAAAGAAAGAAATACATGCTCAAGTAGAGACAGAAATACACATGCAAGAACACATAAAGACAAAAGGACAAATGCAATTGTGCAGGATTTCAAACTTACAGCAATCACTGGCGCCCATAAACTTGCAACAGTCAGTGCATTATGATTATCTGCAACCAGAGATATGTCGAATGAAACAGCATCAGACCACTCATATTCATAAGAGCACAAAAGATGACCATTCATTAGAAAAAAGATAATGTTTCTTCTAAGAGAAATACAATATCTCCTTATTGATCAAAGAATACATATATAGCCTGGTATCTGTCAGTGAAGCTATCTTGTCCTGTTTATTAACATTACAAACAACAAGCACTCAGACTTGCTATACAAAACTTCTTAATTTATAAACATGTATAGATCATATTTCACATCAAGCAGAAAAGGATCAGCAAAACAGGGCCATCCTTTTGACAAGTAAATAAATGCCTGAGCCATTAGCCAGAGAGAAGCAAACAAAAGATCATCTTATCTCAAACCAAGTGAAGCAGTTGAAAACCTTCCTCTTTTTTTTTTACAGAAAAAGAAATCCTATTGGAAAACAGAGAAGACAAAAAAGTTCAAGTGATGAAGATGAGTAATCCACTAGCAAAACATTCAAAATGAGCAGGAAGAAAGCAAAAACGAAAAGCAAAAAACTCAATAGAAATAACATCCCAATGCCTTTTTAACAAGTACAAAGAGATATCTCTAAAGCACTCCCTTGGAGCTTGTAGATGAATACTATACTATTTTCATTTAAGAAAAAAAAAGAATTTCTAAAGCACCCCGCGTGCCTTGACCTACAAAGAAGCCAAGAAGGTCAATCTGTCTAAAGTATAGGAGGGAAAAACTGATCCTTGAAGAATCTAGGCTACAAATAGTTAATCATGATGGGACCCCCATTCAACAAGCTGCTTATAGTAAGGATTATTTGCATGTAGCTTCCCTAGCCCAAAACAAAAACCACAGAAAGGATGTCCTTTTCCAAATCTGCTTCCTTGGGAAATCATCCATAATGTAACCTAACCTTAAGGAATTGGAATAAAGGACACAAAGAACAGCCCATTCGTTGGGAAGCTTCCTATCCAGCTTATCCCCATCACTATATTGCACTTTGAAGAAGCTGGGGGGCTAAAAGAGCAGTCATCTCCTACACTTCCCAGTCACTTAAATTTTGGCTGGAGGGAATGTGCCACTCAAGATGCCATTGTGCTCCACAAAATAGTCACCCACTTTAGGATCAAATGAAGCCACATTCCAATCCCTTTGCAATATATCCAAAGAGACATTTCTAAATTCCCACAACCAGCAAAAAAAGCTCCTCGCTAAAGCACCCTAGCTTCCTTGAATGAAACGTGAATAACATCTCGCTTGTTGTGCCTTAGAAACAAAAATGGATTCTATATTTTCATAATCTTTGCATCCACCAACTGCGCATCCTCGCCCGAAACAATTTGCAATCAAGAACATTATAATCTCCAAGTCAACCAAGTAGCACGCGAACCAATTTACCCCTATGTTGTTTGTTTGTTTGTTTTGTTTTTTTTTTCGAAATAACCTGGTTTGTTGTTTGCTAACCCAAGGATGTCAAACACCTTCCCGGCCAAGACAAGGACTTGTGGTTAATTGTCGGGAGCTTTGTTGGTGGAATGGAGAGCATAGTCACTTAATAAGGCACTAAGGGCCTAAAGACAAACAGCTGACAAAATAAGGGAAAAAAACAGTCTCTCTCAAGGACTGTCCTGATCAAGAGCAGTACCTTTACGGCCAATTTTTCTCATAACACAAAAGAAGAAACTTTATTGAGGTAGAAACTTTACTACCAATATAATGAAGGCAAATTTTAACCAAGAGAAACAATTAAGCTTGCGTGCTAGAAACAATTTGATGTGTCATGTATTCATGCATCAAGTTAAACAATAAACAACTCCACCGAATGGAAGAATATTCCCTAACCCTAAATTGCTGCCATAAATATCACCTAATATAGCAATAATGCTACAACTATTTAAGAAAATTTTCAAACATTTAAAATTCTAACAAAATACATAGTGCAATTTTCTGGTAGACATACGTCAAAATATTTATCAGACCAAGATGGTTGCTCTTAACATAGGAAATCATGCCATGCCAAGTCAAGTATTTTACTAACTTATAGACAATTGTCTTTGTGTGATACATAACAAAAGTTTATAATTTACAATTTCTAAATAAAAATATACAAAGGGTTACATAAAAAACGAGAGGAGTAACGACCAGAGGAGAGAGAGATTTGATTGGACGTTTTGACCAGTCAAAAGAAGACACATAGGCCGAGGACACTTGCATGACCATCCTCGTTGCCTTGGGGGGTGGTCAGAAAGGTCATTCAGGATAGAACATTTCTGGCCATCAAAAGCGAGATTTTTTGTCATCTTTGAGGGAGAAAATCGGAAAGACAAAGGGTGAGTTAGAATGGAAGAGGTTTTAGGGTTTCGACCTTTTTCGGAAAGAAGTGGCATGGTTGCTAGGCACTTTACATGAATTTCACTGGACTAAACGCGGGAAGGTTTGGGATCGGAACAATACGGAAAGGAGGCTCAACTTGTGGGTATCCATGGGCAGGAACAAGAGGGAAAGGTTCCTGATCTTCACAGAGGAGAAAGAGGAGGCAGTGTGGCGAATTTTCATTCAGGAAGGACCACAACCTGGCGGAACGTGGAGAATGATGAATGTTGTTATTTGAACAAGCGAGTGTCAACATACTTTGGTGAAAGGAAGGCAAATTCAGGATGCAGCTCTTATGGCTAATGAGGTTGTGGATGAGCTGTTATTCAAGAATACAAGGTGTGATTATACGCTGAGGAGATTGGATTTTTGAAACAAATGGAGCAGGTGGATTAACTCTTGTATCTCTATAATTTCTTTTGTGGTCATGGTGAATGGAGGTCTATCTGTTTTTCTCACGATCTTCGTAGGTCTTAGACAATGTGATCCATTCTCTCCCATACTTTTTGTTGTTATCATGGAAGTTTTGAATAAAATGTTGATGAGAGCCAGAGAGTTGGAGTTGTTAAAAGTTTAAAGGTGGGTGAGGATGAGTATATGAAGGAGGTAAATCACTTATTTTTTGTTGATGACACTTCAGTATTTTATGAACTAGATGAGAGGGCAATCCTTAACCTCAAATGTGGTTCAATGAGTTTCCAAGCAGTTTTTTATCTCAATATCAACTTAACTAAGTCTGACTTGGTGAGAATGGGTGATAAAAGGAATACTTCTAGGTTGGAGAGTCATGGGATATAAAATTGTGGAGTTATCGAGTAAGTTCTTGAGGTTACCTTTGAGGGGGCCAAATATAAAGATGTGAGGATGTAGGATCCTGTAGCGGCAGGATTTGAGAGGAGGTTACCAGGATGGAAGAGAAAGCTCTTGTTAAAAAAGGGAGACTCACACCCACTAAAAGTATGTCAGTAAACCTCTCATTCTATTACATGCCTCTTTTGACAATCCTGATGACTGTTGCCAAGAAACTATAATCAATCCAGTGTAGATTCCTTTGAGGCAACTCTGAGGATAGGAAAAGATATCACTTAGTAGCGCTGGATGAGATCAAAAAGCCAATGTTCATGCAGGTTTGAGGTTGAGATCTTTAGTGGAGATGAATGTGGCATACAACGTGACTATGGAGATTTATAAAAGAAAATAGTATCCTATGATGGAGGGTGATAGTGGCGAAGTTCGACACTATGAGTAAAGGTTGGTCCTCTAAAATATTGACGAGACCACGTGGAAAGGGTATGTGGAAGAAAATATGCATGGATTGAAATAAATTCTAGGATTGTATTAGGTGGAGGGTTGGCACAGGAAATAGAATCAGCTTTTGGCAGAACGGTTAGCTTGGAAAGGGATCACTCATAGCTCAATTTTCTCATATCTATATTATTGCACAACACAAGGAAATGGCAGTTTTTAAGTCATTCAGAAATATTGGGAGGGAAAAGAAGTTGCATGTGGAAGTTATGAGAAACATCATGATTGAGGAATTAATGATTATGAGACTCTCCTTAATACCTCTCATTTACATCAATTAACAGAGGAAATGGCCAACCAATCTAGTGTCCCAATACTAGAGGGTCTTTCTTAGTCAGGTCCTTATATAAATATTTGATTAAGAATGATACCACGGAGACCAGTTTTTGGCAAATCTAAAATGTTAATACTCCGCCTAGAATTGTTTTCTCTGCATGAGAAGTAGGTTGTGGTTGCAATTCTTACTATTGACAAACTGATGAAGAGGAGAAAGATTTTCATAAACAGTTATTTTCTACTGAAGGGGGAGACAAAATCTTGTAATCATATCCTTCTTCATGCCCACTTAGGTAGAAGTTGTTAACCATGGACTTCCGAGTTACCGGAGATCATTTGGGC